TCATGTTTGATAAGATGGAGGGTCAGAGAAAAAGAGGAAGACCCCCAACGAGATGGATTGGCCAAGTGGCCAATAATGTTTATCTACTTCCTATTTGGAGTCCTGGTGTGGCGCTGTAGGCTAATGCGTCAGACTGCAAAGTCACTTGAACTGCAAGGTTAGTGGTTCAAGTTCACCAGCCGCTCCTTGGAAACCCTATACAGGGTTGGTTGTGGGTTGGAATTGACTCGACGGCACTTAACAACCACTTTCTTTTTGGTAAATTTATATTTTATTTCAAATGGCATAAGAATCATCCTCATTTTCTATTAAAATAAAACCAAGCACTATTATATATACAAGCCCATGCTGCTTCCAGGACTCAAGAGCAAAAGCACTTCACAAGCCTTTCATTTGCCTTACCTGCTTCTTTCGTCTCCTATATCTAGAGGTTCTCAGAATGCCATATTTAAAGGCCTGTATGAATAAATATGTGAACACAGTGACTCTGTAGGATAAGCACTGGACTGTAAACCACAGGGGCCTAGCAAAGACTTCAGCTTTGGGGACCCTGTTCGGGGTCGCTATGAGTCAGAACTAACTCGACTGCCCTTGACAGCAAAACACAAAATGAATAAATACATCCATGCAAAATTCAACTTTGATCTTTCTGGAAATGTTTTATTTACTTTTGTAAAATCCAGTGAAAAGAAGTACACATTAATACACTTATTATACCCTCACTTTACTTAGCCTTAAATTTAAATACAGGTATATGTTGCTTAGAATCTGTCTAGGCCACTCCAACCGCATACATGTCTGTGAGTCGGGGCACCAAGGTGTCTCAGTGCCAGGATGCCAGACTCTCATCTTGAGGTCAAAGCCCCACTTCTGCCTTGTTGCTGGCTGTGATCAGAAAGCCTCCTAGTCTGTGGTGATGTAAGGCCTGACCCAAACTTGGAACTCTGTCCCCACTTGACTGCCATGACTTCAAGGATATAGTTCCCACACTTTGCCTGGTGTGATCCGATACGCATTGATGGAAAAGTACACACGTCAAGCATTCTAGCCCTGGCTCAGGCACTATTAGCCTGCCCTGGCCCCTCTCCAGGTAGGTTTTTACAGACAGGCTGGCCTTACCTACAGATGGCTTGACAGACAGGGCCACAATGCACAGGGGCCCAGGGCCAGTGTACCTGGGAGCCCTACACCCTGTGGACACAGGTATTCACAAAATGTCTACATCATATCATATCCTATTTCAAAGAGCATGTGGATATTAAGCAATGCATACCTGTTCACATTTACATCTCTACTGGTTACATATAGTATTTAAATGGAAGGCTAAGTGAAGGTACAATAGTCCAACTTTTTTCTTTATTTTTTAAATCTGCACCACTACAGGTGCCAGTGCTTACTAAACAGGAGTATGCCCCAGCAAGCTGACCAAAGAGTGCCCTTGACCACTGGCCTAAGTGGACACAGTTGCCTTCAACTCTGCAAGTTATTTTCAAATCCAGAGTGGTTTCAGTCTTTGTCTTCTTTATCTGTTGATGAAGGGTTTCTAGGAAGGTTTAACAATGCTTCAATTTTCTGAGCATCATTCTCAGATTGATTTTTCTGTAAACTACTTTCAATCTCTTCATGGACGAACTCAGTAACATGTAGTCTGGCCTTCCTGTAATCAAAGAATGCAAAAGATATATTAAGTCCCATTCCATTTCTTTAGTTCTTATGTGGATTTAGAAAAAAAAAATATATAGAATTCTTACTCTCCCTGCTTGAGTATGACAACTCGTGAGCAAACACTACTATTCATACTTCAATTAACGTGACTTTCTTCCTATTCCTAACCTACTATAGCTTTTATCCTTAAAATATTATAAGGTTCTGGGTCCTGGAGTCAGAACAGAATCCTATAGAGTCTTAGGGATAACAGGGTTAGAAATCTAGGACCTCAGGGTGATGTGAGGGAGCTAAAGCAGCCTGCACTGAGGTGTGAGCCTCACTGTTGACTTTCTCATGTCCTAAGGACCAGAGGAACTAAAGCACATTACCTCTCTGTTAAACTTTGTTGCCAGACCTTGTAAGAATTGGGCAACGCCTATAAAAATTATAATCTATGTAAAAAAAAGAAAGGACAACACTACAAATAGATTTTTTTTTTTGAAGAGTTAAAATGTAATTTCTGAATAGTAGATCATTCTTTTTCCATTTGTATTTCTCTTTCAGGATCATCTGCAACATTCTCTCAACCATATTTGACTATTTCCTCTTCCATATCTCCATAGACAGTTCTCTATGTTTTCTGCTCAATAAGGCAGTTTTTCAGACTCTCATTTTGATTTTCCTAGTTATTTTTACATTAAGAGGCAGACATATACAACCATTTACTGATTTAACCAACCCCAGCAATACCACACATGCACACATATACATATACAGAGGGGGCTTTCAAAAGTACATGGAAAAATTCCATTATCTTTTACTTTCATTTTCCATGACCTTATTGAATCCCCCTCATAGAATGCATTCTTGACACTATTTCCTTCTGCCAAAGTATTCTTTCATTACTATAATTCAAGTTATTACCTCTTCTCCCGATTTCTATTTCTAATTCACTGATCAATTTTAGTTCGTCTAGTTCCTTTTTTTTAAAACTGAAATATACTTATTATTTGTTTGTTTTCCAAATATTAACTCTTTTCCTCACTTTTTATAACACATTCAATTATCAAATATCTTTTTCTTATTTTTCTAATCTCTTTCTCAAAAATTCCTTTTTAAAAATGAAATCTCTTAGGGAATGAGTCTTCACATCAAGTATCAATGCTATCCCCCCTCTGTATACAAGGTAAATAGGGATAGGCAACTTAGACACTGGCAACCTAACATGAGGGGGCAATAAAGGCACAAACTGACTGGCTTACAAGGTTTCATGAGGGAGTATAGTTTGAAAGTGTACGGGGAAAGACAGAGTCCCCACTGGATAGTTTTCATCTTGTCTAGATGGGTCTAGTGAAAAGAGATGTGGATAAGATTCTTATGATTCAACAGTGAGTATTGTTATGATTAATTACGACTGTCACAATTGTAAAGGTAGAAGTTTTGTAACGAAAACAGGGGAGTACTTAATCTTACAGTCCGGAAACAGACGACTCTAGGACCATCAAGGGAGATGAGCTCAAGTGGAATGTGGGAACCTATCCAGAGAAGCAGCAACACCAGAGACGGAAGCAGAGATGAGGACATGGAGAGAGGGAGCAGCTGAAGAATCTAAATTCATGGAATTAGAGCGACCAAGAGCTGGTGGCCAGGAGGTGGGCTTGCAGAATGTGCCCTTTGGTGGTTTAAATTATTATATATGCCTGAGTGTTTAAAAAAAAAGAAAGAAAAAGCTAAAATGAATAGAGAGAAATACCGTTAACTGATGTTACAAGGAAGGGATTATAATCATTGTAATGAAACAATGTTGAATGCAAAACTGATGCTCTGCTTTGTATACTTTCACTCAATTTACAATGAAAACTTTTTAATAAAAAAAAAAAGAGATCGCTTATGTAACCTGGAGAATTCAAAATATGCTAATACATTCATGCTTTTAATTTTCTATATCATATTTTATATTGGCATTAAGAATTTCAAATGTTTCACCCTACAATCTAGATATCTACATATCCCACCTACCCTCTCTCTTCCCATGAAAAGGAAATAACAAAACAAGCATATTTTGATAAAAATCTGCCCTCAGAGTGGCTAAGAAAATGAAAAGCTTGAAATTGAGGAAAATACTAAGATGTTGTTGTTGTTGTTGTTGTGTGCCGTGGAGTCGGTTCCAACTCATAGCGACCCTACACAGGGTTTCTGAGGCTGTAAATCTTTACGGGAGCAGACCGCCTCATCTTTCTCCCGCAGAACGCTGGAAGTTTCGAACTGCTGACCTTGCGGCTCACAGCCCGATTCGTAACCCCTACGCTACCAGAGCTCCTTCACTAATTAATAATGTAGCTGGATTTAAAGCCAGTTTTTAAGGTTTCATTCACTTCAAAATCCATGTTCTTTCTTCTCTACAGCTTAGGTCCTTGGACAGCAGGTCAACAGATACGAAGGCATTTCTTTTTTTTAATGCTTTATTGTGAATTATGTGATAGTTTACATGGGAGGACATCAGCTTCACATTGATCCCGTCGTATATCATTTCCTTGCCATGGCTACCAATCCCTTCCATGCATCATCCATCAACCAAAGGGTATACCCCGCAAGCCTGCCCACCCTGGTCTGCATACCGCCCCTCTCCCTCTCCAGGTCCAAAGTCTCCAGACACTCCATCTCCCCACGTCATCATCTCTGCCTCCATCCCTGGCATTAATGCTTCTCTGGGTAGGATTCCGTTCTCTGCTCTTCTCCTTTTACGGTCCCAGGGACCTCCGCTCCTAGACTGCAAGGTTAATCACTCCCCTCCCTTTGCCCCAAAACATCTACCTTTACAGTTCCAGCCCTTACATTCAGTCCTGATAACAATTACTCACTATTGTATCTCAAGAGACCTATCCACATCTCCTTTCATCAGCCCTGACTAGGCAGAATGGATACTACTCAGTGGAGATTCTACCTTGCTCCATGACCTCTGGATCTAGGTTCCCTCTTGAAAGTTTGTAAGCCAGTCACTTCTTGCCTCTGGGTAGCCAATGTAGTAAGGCATTTCTTGAGAGAGAAAGAGAATCTGTGGGTGTGTGTTTAGCACAAATGGAGGTTTCAGATCAAAATACTGAAAACAATGATTGTTCATCTATTGAACTACCAAGGCAGCAGTAGATGTCTTCTGTTGGCGTCCCACCATGTTCTCAAAAACTAAGAAAAATCCCCTCATACTTTAGCTAAAGTAGGGAAAAGTAATCATTTTGAAACATCCAGAACACTCTGTTCTCCTTAACAGTGACTACTTACAAGAATGTAATCACCGAGGGTTTTACCAGAGCCAAACAGACATGGGGAGAGGGAAATGCCCAGTTGAGCTGCCTCATTAATGTGAAAGGGAGGAAATACCCAACTCGAGCCCGCTCTGGATGTCTATCTTACCTAAGGGGTGCTTCAAAGAAAAGAATACCGAGAAGCACTGTGAAGAATGTGGAATCGTTTCCTAAGCTCCTGATACATTACTGAATTATTATACAGTATCATTTATATATATATTACTGTATCATTATACACTACACAGTAATACAATACTGTATTATTATACAGGGTTCCTGTATAATAATAACAGGAGAGAACCTGACACTGAGATCTTTTTTTGAAAGTTGCCCCTGGGAAACCCAAAGACAACAGGGGAGACAAAACCACGAATTTCAGAGGAAACTTTAGCCTCTGGTAGTTCCAGCTACAGCAAACAATATGGTTCTATGATGGTCTGCTAGCTAAAAGGTCAGCAGTTCAAAACCACCAGCCACTCCACAAGAGAAAGATAAGGCTGTCTGCTCCCGTAAAGAATGACAGTCCTGGAAACCCTATTTGCTACAAGTAGGAAAAGACTCGATGGTGGGGGATTTGGTTTGCTATGTCCTATACAGATCAGTACAAAACCTCACACCAAACGAGGGCAAGAAAGGGAGGAGAGGAGAGGGAAGGGAAAGAAAGAAGGAAGGAAGGAAGGAAGGACGAAAACAAGCAAGCAGCAGTAAAGGACAAGTACACAAAATACTAAACAAGTCTGCATTTCACACACAAAAATTACAAGGCACACTAAAAGTTATAAAACCACAGTGTTAAGAGACAGAGAAAGTAACAGAATCAGACTCAGATATTGTAGAGTTCGAAACTACCAGTTCAAAACTACCAGCGGTTCTGCAGGAGAAAGATGAGGTGTTCTGCTCCCATAAAGATTTATAGCCTCGGAAACCCCATGCAGGGTCACTATGAGTCAGAACTGACTCGATGGTATTTACCAACAACAACATGAAGTCATCCGGAGTCCTGGTGTGATGCTGTGGGTTAATGCGCCAGACTGCAAAGCCGTTTGAACTTCAAGGTCAGCAGTTCAAGCTCACCAGCTTCTCCTCAGAAACCCTATACAGGGTCACTATGGATTGGAACCAACTCAATGGCACTTAACAATGACAACAACATGAAGTCATCAGAATGTGAATTTAGTCCTGGCGTGGCACTGTGGGCCAATGCGTCCAACTGCAAAGTTGTTTGAACTTCAAGGTCGGTGGTTCAAGCTCACCAACTGCTCCTTGGAAACCCCATACAGGGTCACTATGGGTCGGAATTGATTTAACAACAACATGACTAATATGCTAAGGAGTCTAGTAAAAAGAAGTGGACAGCATGCAAGACCAGATAATAATATAAACAAAGAGAAGGAAATTCTAAGAATAAAAAAAAAAAAGTCAGAAATCAGAAACACTGTAACAGAAACGATGAATGCTTTTAATGAGCTCATCAGTAAACTGGGTATTGCCAAAAGAAGAAATAATCAGTGAGCCTGAAAATATGCCAATAGAAATTTCCCAAACTGAAAAGGAAGACAAACAAACAACACAATAGAAAAAATGAACTGAATATTCAAGAACTACGGTGGTTCAGGAATTCTGGTGTGATGCTGTAGGACAAGCACTAGACTGCTAACCACAGGTTGGCGGTTCAAATCCACTAGCTGCTCCTCAGAAACTCTAC